GGCGGTGGGAGGATGTTCCTCCTCCTGTCACCTCCCTGGTCCCTGCTCAGGTGGCAGTGGGGAGGTGACAGCCCCTGGATGGCTCGGGGAGCAGCAGTCAGTCAGACTGACATCCCATAACCTTCTCCAAAAAGTGCTGTGGGGTTTGGTTTGTTTTTTTCCCCCTCAACGTAGCCCCTTCAGAAAAAAAAAAATATCTATTTTTAAAGAGATGGAATCATTCGGGGTTTTTTTGAGCCCTGAAGGTTTTTTGTCCATTTCTGCCTCATCTGCTCTTAGAAAAATGTACAAAGTCTGACTGTTTTTCGTGTTTTAACCCTTTGCAGCTTCTGTTCAGCTTTTACTGCTGAGTTCAGAGACTCCAGAAGAGTTTCTCTGTGAACAAACTGCTTTCAGGGGGTTATTCCTGCTGGACTCCTGGTTATTCTCATTTCCCCCACTCTAAGGGTAACTTCCTTTTTTTTTTTTGCTGGCAGAGGATCAGTGTTTATGCTCAATAAATCATGACATTTCATGGCTCCTCTTTTCAGTTACTCGCTACGACTGATGGTACAATCCCCAAGCACAAATGGTGTGAATTTAGTGTTATTCTGTGACTTTTCTACTGGGGGGGGGAAAGCTCAAGAGGCTCTTTTTATTTTCCTTTTTTTTTCAAAGAAAAATCTTTAAAGTTCAAAAGAACTTTAAAGTTAAGATCAAGAAGTGTGATCTTTTTTGCTTTGAACTCCGGAATTATGTCAATAAATGTAATTTTAGTGGATGCCCCTCGGGGGGGTGTGGGATGGGAGTGTGTCTGTCGGAGCAGGTCGCTCCAGGCAACGAGTTTCCAGTCATCAGGAGGAACTGGTGTCGTTTTCAAGGAGCGTCACACTCAAAGGGCTGGGAAACCATTTTTTCCTGTAAGCCCCGAGCACCGCGGTGGCTCCGATGGAAAGTGTGTGTCACCCCGGTGTCGGGCAGGTTTAATTGCAGCTAATCCCAATTAAACCTGGTCGTCATTCCCGGCGGTGAATGGCGTGGGGAGTTCCCCTGCTGGTCTTGACCCATTGGCTTCCATCCTTGTCCAACACTGACCAGTAAAGCTTGAAACCAGAGCAGTGCTGATCACCTGGAGGCATGGAACCCATGGAAAATGGGTTTTTGCGAAGTTGGAACTGGTAAATGGACAGGGAACCAGCACCTTTTCTGGAGCTGCAACTTAGGAAAATAAATATTGAGTAAGTTTTACATTTTATATGAGATTTTTGAAGGTGTCGGCTTTGAAAAGTGAGGAAGGATGAGAAGAATGTATTAAAAAATACTGAAATATTATCGGGCAGCTGCGAGCGGGTTGGTGCCCTGTAGGACTAAGAACAGAATGAAGTTTGGAGATGAAACGGTGCAAGGCTGGAAATTCAAGTGTTGATGGTCTTTAAAGCCTGTTTTTTCATGTGGTCAGGGATTCACCGAGCCTAATTGTGTTGGTTTTTTGGGTGTTTGTTGGTAAAGGAGGAAAACAGGAACTGGATAAAGGGAGAGATCTTGTCGCTGGCTTGAGTCAGGTGGAGGTAACCACAGGCAGGATGGATTAGGTGCTGGTCAATGCAGTGGTTTACTGGGGTTTTTTTTTGTTACAAAGAGGACCTGGAGATTGTTTTCAGGTGAATGTGAAGCTCTTGGAGGAATGGAAGAATACTTGGAAATAAACTACCCTCTCATTGAGTCTTTCTCTTCCAATTCATACCCCCGGCTGTGTTGCCTAGAGGTTTCCAGCTCCGTTTGTTGGGAATGCTGGTGTCTGTCCCTCAGGAGACTCTGAGTGCCGTCACTTTGCACTGGGTGGGTTTAACCTGAGGTGGGACCGTGCACCGGGATGGTGTTTTGGGGAACAAACAGGTGATTTGAACACCCTGGGGACCCATGGGTGCAGTCAGCCCTGTGGACGTGGTTCCATCTCTTGAGTTTCTCCTGCAGTTTTACTAAGCAGGGCTTGGCTCCTGATGTTCCCACATCCCTCTGGAGGAGCTGCTTCAGGCTGTGTGGTGTGTTTGCTGCTCCTCTGAACAAATTCATGTCTCCTGGTGCCGTGACACCCGGCGGGTTGGGAGTGGGATACGGACACCGTGACCCCGGGAGGAGCCGCAGGAGCCACGGGTGGGTTTCTCTAGATCCATTTTGGTGACTCCTCCAGGAGTATAATCCCACCCTGGGCTCTGAGGGGCCTCGCTGCAAACATCCTTCTGGGAAAGGCAACAAAATCCTGTGTTTTCCCCTGGTTTACCCTGCGGAGGTGCAAGGCCAGGTTCGTTTGTCGGCGCTGGAGCGCGGCCGTCCCTTGTAGAGACTTGTGGAGCTGAGAGCGTTTCCCTTCGAGCCCAATCTCTGGGTGGGTGTGATGAACAGCAGATACACTTCGAGGAGACGCCGAAGGAAATTCAGGCAGCATTTTTAACAGAGGGGTGGAAAAAAAAGGGTGAAAAAAAAAGGGGATTTCACATTTGTTAGCCTGGATCTAAGAGGAGCTGCTGGAAGTGCAGATGGAACTGGTTGGTTGCCAGCCGTTAGTCATGGGGCACACCTACTTTGGAAGAGTAGCCCGTGGCTTCAGAGAAGTAATTATTTTCTAACAGCCCTGTGGGGCACGAGCAATTCAGCTTGTGGAGGACAAGGAAGGGCTTGCTCCAGAATGCTTTAGTTTAAAAAAAAATGGTGTGCATACGAGCTGCAGCTGGTGACGACTTGACTGGAATTTAATTTGTCCGGGGCATTGTTCGTTCTGGGTGTCGTGGAAGACACGAGCTTCTGGAGGCTGAAACAATTGCTGTCCTGCCAGAGCTGCTGGGGCTAATTGCCATGGGAGTGGGACCAAGGCAAACTGCAGCGGGCAGCCCTTCAGCTGGTGCGGTGAAGGAGCTGAACTCCCAATTTTTGGCAGATTTTAGCCCTTCATCTCACAGAGCCGCTCGCAGCAATGAGCAGCTCCGTGTGAGGGACCTTGGGGTGAGGCCCCAGGAACAGCCCTCACCAAACCCCTGGGCTCACCATGGGTCAACCT